AACTGAGTTTTAGATCTCAAGTAAAGCCCTCCTAAATTAGGTTCTGAGTTTGTTGTTGCACCCCAGGAAAAAAAAGGGTGATTGTCCCTCGTTGACTGTGGGGGAATGAAGGGGAGAACTTGGACTTCTAAGTTACCCTTCCATTCTGCTCAGCTACAGAGAATAGAGAAATGCTTACTACCGTGTCTTGGGAGAGTTACACAGTGGCGAGAATTTGGGCTATGTACAAAGCTTGGTTCTGCCACTCTTTAGCTGTATAACCTCAGGAAAGTTGCCTCTCCTGGCCTCAGATTTCTTATCTGTCGAAGAAGAATGTTAATATTATTTACATCAGGGGTACCCTTAAGGACTAAATGAGCTAATTTTTATTACCAACTTTCAAAAGTGCCCAGCATGTCATAAAAGCTATATAAGTGGCAGCTATTAATAAATTCATTGGGCGAACAGGGACCTTTGAAAATTTACCAAGTCTAACCTACTGCCTTAGGCAGGACCAAGTTGAACTATACAGCAAAAGGGTTTGTCCTGTGTTAAAAACTCCTCCTAAGATGATCACAGACTTCTATGGTCATCCATTCTACAGTCAGGTGTCTTCAGAGCAGGAATTCTTATTCAAGCTCATCTAAATGTCCTTGTGCAAAAGTTTAGGCACAATTTGTCTTCTGTAGGTCTCAGTAAAGACTGTCACCCTCTTCTGTAGTCGACTATGCCCCCTGTGGTTCTGCTCTTCTCAATCTTGGCCAAGCACAAAGGCCCCATGGCTTCTGCATGTCCACTGAGGTCAATTCCTCCCAGGACATGAAGAACCCAACTAGAAAAGCATGCTCAGGTGGCTGGTTCCACCTGTCAGTACCACCTCCTTCTCTGCCCCATCTCTGGCCCTCCACTGCCTGGTTGGATATTAAGACCTGTGCAGCTTGACCTGATAATGCATGCCCTCACACTGGATTTGTGGCCTATTTCCATTTATGGCTGTCCTTGTGGTCCTTGAAACCTGGCCCCAAGGATGGAAGCTTAAACGCTGACGAGAACTGTGACTTGGTGGGGCACCACACAATAAACCCAACTAATTGGCTTTCAAAATCTCACTTTTGTTTCATGACTCCCTGATAGTTCCTCGCCACTAGGCACCCTGTGTCTGGCAAGGAGGGACAATTTTGACCTAAAAACTTCTCTAATCTCTCTGGGGCTAATCTCTCCATTGTTGTGTGCTTTCTCTGAATAGCACTGACTGGCTCCAACCCTGGTGGGGGCCTCTAATAGAAAAGCTTAGGCTATGAGCTGCAAAGCCCTTGCCATCTGGCAGCGATGTCAGTGATCCTTCTGGAACAGGTGCTGAGCCTGTCTGAGAGGAAAACTGAGGCTCAGGGAGGTAATTCTCCTAAAAGTGTGCCATGCCCAGGCAGGAAGAGAGTCAGAAATGAATCCCAGGATGCCTGAGTCCCAGAACTATATTCTCCCCTTGCTAATGTGTGACCCAGAGGGAGCAGAAGGTATCCAGTGAAGAGAAAGATCTCTGCTGCCCCGTTGTCTGCCTGCCTTCTGCCCACTGTCCTGGCCCACCTCCTTCTCCTTAACCCCTGGCCCTCTGGCCCCCATTCTCCATTTTCTCTGACTTCCTATAGGTGTCTTAAAGGGCTATTCAAGCTACAGCAGGTAGCAGGGAGTAGGAGGATGCCCAGGGAAGCACAGACTTCTTGGCCAGGACTGCCCTTCTTTCCAGGGATGGAGACTGAATAGAATAAGAGAGCTTAGTTCAAGTTCAGGACCAACAACATTTTCTGTTCTGATTTGGTTTGAGTACTCACGTTGGAGACCTATGTAGATTTGACTCTGGCTTCACTGGTTTATTAAAAGATTGAGGTTGCAGACAAGAAGTTTTAAAAAGCTTCTGGTTAGGGGCTGGGGTTGTGTCTCAGTGATAGAGTGCTTGCCTAGCATGTGTGAGGCACTGGGTTCAATTCTCAGCAACATGTATAAATGAATAAAGTTCATGGACAACTAAAAAAAAAATATTTTAAAAAAGATTCTGATTAGGTCTCTGATTCAGTAAGAAGTGAATGATTGGGATTGGTCCCAATAGACAGCAGCAGCGTGTGTCAGGGTGGTGGCTGGGTCAGCTCCAGCTCCAGTCTGGCCACAGTACCATCTAGTCCCAGGGATCACTGAGGGAGGGCCAGACCCGTGGCATTTGTTCTTCCTTCTGACTTTGTGTCAGACCTTCTGGGGATCCAAGCCAGGGCCCAGGCTCATGGAGAGGGTGACTGCTCCAGCTGGCCGTGGGTCAACCAGCCTCCTAAGGGAGGAGGTCCCAGGCCAGGCCTGGGCCCAGAGGGCTGCTTCTACAACTCCTGAGCCAAACCAGCTTAAGGAGACATAAATCTCCCTGGAGAGGAGCAGCTGTCAAGGGAGGGTTTCTCCTTCAGAGGTAAGGTAGGGTTCAGAGTCATGCAAGAAGCAGACCCTAAATTCCCCAGGTTGTAGAAGACAGAAAACTAAGGCCAAGTCAACCAGAAGCCATGGCCAACACATCTTCCCTCTACCTCTTACAGTAATCAAGAACTTTTGTGAGTCAGTGCTACCACATTTCTGCAAGGACCTTATAGAAAGTTGGCCCTGTCCATCCAAAGGAGAACCCTGCTTTGAATGATAAGGGGAAGCATTTTAATCATGGAAAGTTTTCCCCAAATAGAGACTCTGTTCTTCCTTCTGCTTAACTCTCATAATCATAATTGCTCTGGGATTGAGAAGAGACGCCTCAACCCCATTACATCGTAGCTGACTCTTGGAGTTGCCCTCTACCTACCCTTGTGCCTCCAACCCTGGAAGGAGGGGCTTCAGTGATAGTTTTCAAGGCAGAATCTTTGAATGCTGGAGCTCCCTGTGAGGTAGTAAAAGAATAAGGATGAAGCTTAGGAGAAGGTAGAGTCCAGCCCACAAGGTGAGGTTTCCTCCTCTACTTCAATCCAGAGCCCCCCAGTCACCCACCAAAGCAGGTGAGGAAGAAAACATGGTACCCCTCACTCTATGCCTTGACACTAAGCCACTGTACCCATCCCTGGAATCTAGGCCAAGGGCCCTCAGGCAGGAATCTGCTCTGTCTATCACTGAGAACTCCAGAGCCAGAGCTTTCCACCCCACTAGGGACTCATGGTCTGCTCCCCACTCACCCCAATCCAGCCCAACCCAGCAGTGCAGATCATGCCCTGAGAACGCACACAGTATAAGAAAGGGGAAGATGTATTCTTCAGATTTTCCAAGGAAAATGTGTTTGGCCTAACTTTAATTTAGCAATAAAAAAATCCAGGATACTCCATCAGTTGGTTCACCATCTAAGTTCCTTTCAACACACCTGTCTCAAGTATTCCCTTTAATCCATCACCAGCTATGTCCCCCAGCCTATGCAGGTCCTCAGAGAGTTGCAAGAGAAATAGAAAACATATTCCTATCTTCAAAACTTTGGCAAGACTTATGCACATGGGAAGCAATTAGAAAACAATTCAAATAGATGGTCAATACATGTTAGCTAGTACACATACAATGAACAAATCGATTGATTATAATCCTAGGACAGGATGTCTGGTAGAAAAAAAAGCATCAGTCTAAATGTCATTAATAAGCCATTAGAGAGGCTGGGAAGGCTTCCTAGAAGAGGTGGGGCCTGGGCTCCAGGGTATCTAGGTGGGCAGAAGACAAAGGAAATGAGCTGGGGGGAGAGAACACTGGTCAAGAGTCAGTTCCTACTCTGGGAAAAGAGACTGGGGATGAAGCAGATCTAACCAAGAACTTCTTGCCACCAACTTTTTTTAAAAAAAAAAAAATTTTACGTTGTTAATGGACCTTTTATTTATTTATTTATGTGTGGTGCTGAGAATCAAACCCAGTGCCTCACACGTGCTAGGCAGGCACTCCACCACTGAGCTACAACCCCAGCCCATGCCGCCAACTTTTTGCATGACTTTAGGGACCTCTCTCTTTTGAGTTTCAGTATTTTGCATATGGGGCTCAGCCTGAATTAGTACTTCTCATATTTCTGTACCAGCAGAAGCAGCAGCACCTGATAATGGGTTAAAAATGCATGCCCGTGGAGCTCATCCCCCACCTAATCTGAAATTCTTGGGGTGGGCTCAGCACACATCTTACCAAGCCCTGCAGGCAATTCTGAGGCCACTCTGATTGGAGAATATTGGATTTTATCACTGCTTCTTGACCCTGGCTACTCATTAAATTCATCTCGAGAGATTTTAAACCCAATGAAGATGCCCAGGCCCCACCCACAGAGATTCTGATTAATGCATCTGGCCCTGGCATTCATATTTTTAAAAACTCCCCAGATGATACAAATGTGCAGCCAGGGCTGAGAAACCCTGGACTAAATGACAACCAAGTCCTTTCTGACTTATTGTCCTGGGATGCACTTGGACAGAAAGAGCCAGGATTCCTAGATTACCACATCCCACTGGGTGGACTTGCAGACAGTCAGAACCTATATCTGGGGAAAGAAAGACATCATAATGTCCAAAAATCTGGAATCTCTTGATGACCACTTTTTGGTGGTTTGTATAATTGCCCAGCATTTCCCTATATCTGCCTGAGGTAAGGATACTGTGTATAGATGTTGATTCTCCCTTTCCATCCACAAATAAGTGTGCCCAAGCTCGCAGTAACTTGCATATTCATATATCACATACAGCTATAAATATCTGTAACGTACACAAGAATAACCACATATAGATAGTCAGAATTATTCCGGAGGGCCTATGTGCATACAAAAATAAATCCACCATCAGAAATCCCAGCCAGTGCACTCAGATGGCTTAGGAAAGTATTCTCTGTGTGGAGACTGGGATGTTTGAAGTAAGTGGTGTTTCTGGCTACAGAGTAGCAATTGGGAGGGGTAGCAATGGTTTTTTGAAAGCTGTTTCTTCTAGGTAGAAGCAGGTAGCCAACAGGGAAGGCAGAGTGTATACATGCTAAGGATACCCTTGTTTCTCTTGCAGATTCGAGCTGATGGTCCCCCCCATGGTGGGGTCCAGTATGAGATGGTCTCTGTGCTCAAAGATGGGAGCCCCATCCTTCGGGACATGGCCTTTTCCATTGATCAGCGCTACCTATATGTCATGTCTGAGAGACAGGTAAGTGTTGCTGCCAATCCATATATCCTTTCCAGACTCCAGGAAACTGTTGATGATCTGTCACCTTAGTTCAGAAGCTGTTCCATCTAATAAGGGAGACCTCTGCTCTTGCTGTACCAGGGTCCCGGAAGAGGCAGATTCCCTGTAGGTTTTTGCAGGGAGCCACAGGGAAGCAAGCCAGGGCCAGCCACTTCCCGGAGGCTTCTCTCTAGGCCACAGCCTCTGTCTCAGCCAGTGATGAACAGCCCCGCAAGAACAGGCCAGACTGCATGGAGCAGCTTGGTGTGATTAGGAGGTAGATTTACTGCTCTAGGGCCCACAGAGTCTGCTGCTCAAGGGAGCCAAAGAGGTGTAAATAATCCAGGCCTCCAGGCTGGGCCTGCTCCTGAGAGAGACAGAACCAAGATAGGGCCCCAGAAGGAGATAAAATCTTGGCATGAGTCTTAAACTGGTGCAGGGTAGAAACTGGTCAGCTCTGGGAAGCTGAAACTAGGCCTGCAGAGATGGGGAATCCTACGAAACAGACTTCTACCCTCTGCTAGGTAGCAACTGAGCAAGTTCCTCACCCTCAAGGATGGCGGGGAGGAGGATTACTCCTCCAGATTGTACTCACTCTGAATGTGTGGCAGCCCAGAGAAGGGTAATGCAGGGGGAGGTGTGGTGAAGAAAAGAAGCAGGGAAGACAGGAGATTCATCAGATCCCTGCAGATCCAGAAAACCAAGCAAACACCTAGTTTTCACCAAGACTGGTTCATTCCATTCACTTGGTCAGTGGGTTAACAGTTGTTGAGCTGCAGCGATGGTCTTTATCATTTTCCTGAAAAGGAGAAGTCAGATAAAGGTCAAAGAAGGATTAAAAAGGATTATGAGTCTGTCTCAGCAGCTGAGGATACTGACAGAGGCTGGAGAATTGTGCTGGGACTAGAGGACCAGCCACTTTCACAAGGTGCCTCCCAGCTCGTATGTCATTCAGAATATTCTGCCAGGATTCCAGTGTCCTTGATCAGCTTCCCCCTTCTCCGAGTTGTCTTTCCCTCCTTTGTTTTTGAATGTAAGGGATCTGAATCAGGGGATGGGGGATAAGCAGAAAAAGTAAGAAAGGGGCCAGCAGGCACATGACAGCATTAAGGGACGCAGTGATGCAGTTCTAACTTGAAAATTACTTCTTGAGAATAGATGACACAAATCATATGCTAATTGCATGCAAATTACATCCAGAGCCTCTTGAACCCACCTGTCTTTTTTACCTTCTTTCATGTGGCCCCTGCCATGGAGGTATAAACAGGTCCAGATGGGAACTGGGAGGAGTTGGAGGACGCTTTGCCTAACCTAGAGTGGGTGAGAGAGTCTTGGAAATAAACACCAGCCTATCATCCCAATAAAACAGGCAATGGGCCTAAGAGAAACCCTTACTGGGCACATATTTATTGGAGACAAAATACTGGGAAAACATGAAAAGGAGTGGGACTTGATCTCTGCCCTGAAGTTGGTTACCATCTAATGAGGGAGAGAGACAGGTACCCCGGGTATCTATGACGTCAGATTGAGTTCTATGGATGCTCTGTGTTCTCTTCCTATTCTTCTTCACCTTTAAGACTGAACGTTATTTTTGAAATAAAAATAGTAGATGCTTACCTGTTCAATACCAGTTCAAGCATTACCTATAGACAACGGTCTCAAGTCCACCATCCAAAATTAACATCACGTTAACAGGATCCTGAGACACTTTCACAGGAATACGTAGAAGGCTGGTGGATAGATGGCAACCTACATAGGTGGCTAAAGAAGAGGAATAAACCCATACTATGCATGATATTTTTTGAGAGACACGCTGTATGGCTCAAGACCAGGCAGGAAGCTCTGGGTGAGAGCTCTCTCTTGGGTTGTTTTTTTTTTTTTTTTTTTTTTGAGTCCAATGTAGTGAAAAAGCAGAAGCAGCAAATGGAAGTGACCAACAAAACCTTAGTGGAAACTGAAAACGTGCCAAGGCACATTTTGGCTGCATGTCCTTTGTCAAATGGGATGCTTTTGAAAATGCATTCAAAATAGAACCAAAGAAGAGGCACTGGGTCAGGGCTAGAGGCTGACAAGAAGGCTTGAGGATATAGAATGATCTTGAGTTCGTGGGTGATGCCACGTCCGAGAGCATGCCTCCTGGTCAAAATACAGTTTCTCTGTAAATATCCTCTCCTTTGTCCTCATCCTCTGCTTCAGATGTCCTGTTCTTGTTCCAATCTGCACCAAATAGGTTGAGTAGTAGCCAGTTGCAATGAGCAAAGGAGCAGATAGAGGAAGAATGTGGGTTTAATGCCATGGGGCTGTCTCTGGCCAAGTGAGATATTAATAGGGGAGCTCTCTGTACCAGGTGGAGCTGCAATCAGGAGGCCAAGTCTAAGGGGGATTTGTGGTGGAGCTCTGAAGCCTGTCACTTGGACAGCCATAAATCGTGTAGAAATAGGTAGCCAGGTGACTTCACCGGGGGGCTGAGTCCAGGGAGGAGGGCCAAGGGCAGCTCAGGAGGCCCATCTGTCTGAGGCCAGCTGAGCACAGAGTCTTCACAGACAGCCAGGACCTCTTCAGGAGGCAGTTTAATGTATGGTTGGAGCACGGTCAGTAAAAATGAAGTCAGAGGTCCTGGATTCTAGTTCAGCTTTTGCAATAACCAGTAGCATGACTCACGGCTTCTGTTTCCTCCTTTTTGAGTTAGAGGAGTTACATCAGATAACAGGATTGCCTCTGAAGTCCACAGTTCCGATTCTGGCTATTCTACAGCAGAGAGGCCTTAGACAAGCCACTTAACCTCTGTGAGTGTCACACAAGGTCAGGGTGAGACTCAGTTGAGACAATCGCTAGGGAAGTTCTTCTTACTCTGTCTCCATGCAGACTATGACTCCACTGGTCATTAAGATTCTGTGTGGCTTCTTCCACCTCTTGCATTCTGATTTCATTACTTAGGAGAATAGATACTATATGTGATGATTAGGAAGCTAAGTGGTTTGTGACCCAGATAACAGGCCCTGCCTCTAGTTCCCCAGGTGACCTGGGCTTTTATCTTCTCAGGGACTTGGATTCACCACATTTAAAGATGGAGATGAAAAACCTGACTCAGATGTCCTTTTAATTCTTGAAGAGTTCATTGAAGGTCCTGGTATTGGGACTTCTCTTTTTGCAGGTGACATCAAAATCCCCACTAACAAGCTTAAAGTTAGAACAAAAGAACTTGCTGAAAAAGAGGTCTGTGAGGTCATGCGTGTTTTCATGAGCTTCTTCCCTAAACAATGAACATTACAGAGAGCAGGAAGGCTGGTTTGCTTATGAATAAGTGTATTCCTGCGCTGAGGCAGTGTATCAGTCCTTTTTCCATTAGCATAACAAAATAACAGAGTCTGAGTAACTTAGAAAGTGAAGAGGTTTATTCAGTTATGGCTTTGGAAGCTGAACGTCGAAACAGCATAGCCCAGGCTCTGGCAAGGGTCTCCCTGACTGCAATCATATCATGGCAGACGATATCACAACAAGAATGTATGCAAAAGGATGAGCTCACATGACCAGACAAGAAGCCAAAGAAGGTTGGGAGGGACCAGGCTTGCTTTTTTATAACAACTCTGTTGCAAGAAATAACCTGGATCCTGTGAGAACTACATCAATTTCTTCTGAGGAAAGCGCCTTCAATGATCAGTGTATATGCCACTAGGTCCCACCTCTTAAAGGTGAACATCTGGAGGATACACTCAAACCATATCTAAACCATAGCAGGTAAAAATTTAAGATTTGGGGGGTTCTCTAAAAGTCCTAAGATCTTGTGTGACATCAAGGGAATGGGGCTTCCAGAAACTTCACTTTATAGCAAATCTCTGGGTAGCCTAATGTCATCCCTTCCTTCCACCCTATCCACGGCACGCACTTATCTCTCTGTACTCACCCCTTCTCCAAAACATGGCATCTGTCCTATCCTTGAGACCAGGTAAGAGTACAGTGTAGTCCCTGGTCTCACATTCTGCAAAAGGGGTTCTAATCTACCCACAAAGTTAACAATCTAATACCAATATAACACTCGTTCTAATCTCTCTCTCTCTCTCTCTCTCTCTCTCTGTCTCTCTCTCTCTCTCTCTCTCTCTCTCTCTCTCTCTCAATTAACTAAATGTAATTAAGAAATAGGACTAGTAGGAAGCAGTAGGAAGCGTTGGGTCGTTAGTGCCACTTCCTAACAAGTCAATGTTAATGTATTGTTAATAGATCTGCCGCCTGGCCAGTCCCAGGGGGAAGTTTGGGAACTGATTCCCCAATCCTGCTGCTAATTGCCCAGGTGCTCCACCGTGAAGATGCCTGGCTCTTCTCTAGAAGGCCCGCCCCAGACTCACAGTGAGTCAACAGATGTTATAGCATGACTCCAAGTTGCACCCCTGTCCTCTGTGTCTCATGGAAGTCAGACAGAGAGTCCAGGGAAAATCAGGCTACGGGCCAAGTTAAAAACCAAGCAACAAGATGAAAAGAAACTGAATGACCCTAGTTTCCACCCAACTTGTCAGGCTGGCCACTCCCAGAAAGGGAACACCACTCCATCGTCCTCAGGGTGGATGAGAAAAGAGTATGGGGATGGAAGCAATTATTCTATTTTATACTTTAATTAGTTTGAATTAGCAGAGGGAATAGAGGCATAAAATGATCCAGCGAAGGGTGAAATGGAAAAAGGGAGTCACAGTGGAGAATGGCTCCGTGCAGGCTGAAAAGAACCTTGGGAATAGCAGATAGGCTGGCAAAGGGTGAGCGTGTTGGGAGTGGGTGGGGGACGTGGGATTCTGCTCTCTCTTTCTAGGCGTGGAGGGGCAAAAGAGTACGGTGGTTAAGATCTGGCATGTGAAAGTGAGATAGACTTCCTTTTCATAGCTTCTTGCTAGGTGGTATACGGCTTCGAGAAAGTAATTTGACTTCTCCAAACCTCAGTTGCTTCATCTGTGCAATGGGACTAGCAGGTAGGCTAGTGTGCCATATCTGATTTA